CGTAGACCCTGTGTGCAGAAGCTCCATAAAGGTTGCTTCCTTCCCATTAGGTCTTAGTGGCACTCACCCTATTGGCTCTGAGACCTCTAGATTTTTTTTTTTTTGAGAGATTTTCACTGTAGGGCGCGTGCACTCGCCAGACAGACAGAGACATAGAGACAGAAAGCGAGAAATCACCCCCCAGGGGCGATGGTCACACCGCAATCCCTTCTCCTCCAATCTCCTCTCGGGATCTTGGGCACGCACGCACACGCACCCGGCGTGAGTTTTAAGCCACCGGGTCCGGGACACGAACCGCAGTTCACTACGTGGGAGTCCAGCGACATAGCCATTACGCTAACTGCTGGTTCCCGAGACCTCTAGATTTTTAAAAAAATCGTTTTATTTAACTTTATTAATTTAATTTGACCAGAGAGGGACAGAGTGAGGGGGAGAGGGAAAGTGAGAAAGCAAGCCACCAGGTTTGGGACTTGAACCGTGGTCGACCATGTGGGAGTCCAGTGCTCTTAACCACCACACCACCTGCCAGCCCCGGAGTCCTCTAGATCTTTTTCTGGTTGAGACACAGCCTGTGCAAGATCACCCAGCAGTTTGGAAAGGAGGCTTGAGTCCAAGAGGGTGTCCCAGCCAGGGCCCCTCCTCAGGCGTTGGCCGAGCCCTGGGCTCCCAGCTCTAAGGGCCATGTACACCACTCCACTTTGGATCTCTGTCTTCCCCCGGAGGGGTGTGGTAAGGGGGATTGACAAGGTTGCATCCCAGGGGCCTCCCCAGCGACCCTCTGAGGCACTGCTGAACCAAGCAGGCTGGCTCAGGGGCCATCCATCCCAGACCTTCCTCGGGGAGGTCCAGCCACCTGGCCCCTCCCCACCCAAAGCCAGGCATGGCTAGTTTCCAGCAGCCCAGCGTGTACTAGGGGAGGCTGTGCTGGTAAGGAGAGCGAGGGACACAGAAGTAAATGGAAAGACGAGAGGGTGGGCAGAGAGAGGCAGAGACAGATCTGGGGGGAGAGGAGCAGGCGCGGCCCCAGCCTCATCCCAGCACCGGGGGCAGGGGAGCACAAGCAGCCCCTCCAGTCAACATGCCAGTTCCTTCCCATGAGCACTGGGAAGCTGATGCCAAGGCAAGTGGGCACCTCTGGGCTGGCCATTTCCATGGCTCCCCCCCACACACACACTTTGCATATGGCTGTCATGGCAACCAGTGGCCACACAGGCATGAGCATGGGGGCCTCAGGCCCTGGACCAGGCCATGAGGGTGACAGCTGTGCCGGCTGCCCTGGAGTACATGCTCTGCGTAGCGTGGAGGGGCAGAGGGCCATGGGGGCCTTGGGCATTTGTCCTCAGGGTGGCCAGGGCGCTGAGCACACCTGCTCGCCCCACCCAGCTGAGACCAGGACCTCGGGGACCTCGGAGATAGACCTGGGCCAGCAGATGAGCTGCACGGGCTGCGGCACCTGGATGTGGGTGCACAGATATGCTATAGGGGGGTGCGAGTACGCAGGGCTTTCGACAGAGTCCCAGAAGGAGCCGTGCCCCGAAAATGTTAAACACACTGAGTCCACTTTACAGCTGGGAGACTGAGGCTGGGAAGTTCTGGCCGAAGGGCAGCCAGCAAGCTGAGCAGAGCTGGACGGAGGCTGGGGCTTGGACATCTGTCCAGTGCTCCTTCAGGGTTTTTGGTCTTCAGAGAAATGGTGCACCTGTGCTGGCAGCCACACTAAGACGCTCCCTGGCAACGGGGCCACTCTGTCCCGCCACTCCTGTGAGCCCCATTAGGGTCCCGGGTTGCTCTAACCCTCCTACTCTCTGTACCCGTCTTCTCTTCTGCAAAAGGGAGAGGAAGAGGAGCCCCCTGAAGGCGGAGTGAAACGGGAAGATGGGCACAGGGGTGCACCATGGTCCGGCGCCTGACAAGCATGCCAGTGGTAGGAACAGCCGAGCTCGCCGTCTCTGTGTCCCCTCACTTCCCGCACCCACGGCCTTCCCGAGGGCTCTGGGCTGACTGGTCCCCTTCTTCCTTACCCCATCACTGCGGCATCGAGGCCCTGTCCTGACACACTTTGGATCGACATGATTGGACTGACACGCATTTCTGGGCTCTGAGAGACTGTCCCCTGCTGGACCCCCATCCGCACAGTGAGGAGGTGCACGTCTCTGAGGGGCCCTCTCGGCGCCGATGCGACGTGCCACACTGAGTGGCCCCGGGGCCCGGTGTCCTCTGCACATGCTGCCCTCGCCAGATCCTGGTTTTGTCTTCCATGTGCCTGGCCCTATCTTGTGCCACGCCCACCCTGCCCCACGGTGGACTGGCCAGTGCCCGCTGTGCCATCGGCTTTCTCAACCATCCCTGCACTCACCCGCCCTGGACCCTGAGGCTGGGACTGCAGCTGGGGGTTTCCAGCTAATCCGATGCTCGCTCTCTCTGCTCGCCCCTTACCCCCAAGCTTTGCTGCATACCCTGACTCTGCCGGGGTCTCCAGAGTGGCCAGGGCCTGCCTCCAGAACTGGCACGTGTCATCATTACGCCTCCCTGTGGCTGTGCCCGTTCTGCTTCATCCCTGCACCTGAGCCCTCAAATGGAACACGGGGTGGGGGGGGTGAATTGGGAGTGGGGGAGCGGATCCCCAACCACCTTGGCAGTAGGAGAAGTGACAGCTTCCACAGGCACACAGCTGTAAGAGCCTGGGCAGCCTGGGCTTAAATCCCGGCTTCACCACATATTAGCTGTGTGACTTTTGGCAAGTTGTTTAACCTCTCTGAGCCTTGGGCTCCTCGTCTGTGAAACTGGAGTAACAGTGGCCACGTGGCAGGGCAGTCGTGAGAGTTAAACGCTTGGCACGTGTGGGTTTGTGGATCCCTGCAACATCAATCGCGTGGCTCAGCAGGACAGGGGCTGCCTGACAAACCTCTTCTAGCCCTCAGGGGTCTAGCAGGCCAGGTGACCGTGGTTGTGAAAACCCCTAGAATGGCGGCCCTGTAAGATCCCCAAGGGACCTCACCCTAGGAGGCTGGCATGGCCGTGGTGTGGGGCACAGGGTGCAGGGGAGAGCAGAGTGGAAAGGCAGGGAAAGGAGGCCGAGGGAGCTGGGGCTGGGAGCAGCCTCACACGCCAGCACTAGGAGCCCCGCCTTGGCCCTGCAGGTGGTGGGAGCCCCGGCAGGTGTGAGAGCAGACGGCAATGGGCCCAGAGCTGTCCTTGGGGATCTAACAGCCGGGGGCAGACACAGAGGTCCGCAGTCAGCACAGAACATGGAGAGTCTGGAGAGACACCGCCGGGCAGAGGCCGGTTTTCACCGGCTTTTGTCTGGCAGGCCTGGAGCCATGAGGGCAGCGCAGAGAGGCCTCCCTATCATACAGATGAGGAAACTGACTCAGAGAGGAGAGAGTCAAGCCCAGAACCCACACCTCCAAATTCCTCCCACAGGGCTCTTCCTTTTGTTTTATTCCCGGCCTCCTCACCCACAAGTGGCTGGCATGGGCCCAGGGAGGCAGGGACGGGCCAGGATCACACAGCAGGATCCCTGAGCCTTGGTGTAGCACCAGGAGGCTTCTCGTTTGAAATGTGCTTGGGGTGACCTCACCCAGGAGAGGTCAGGGGCCCACAAGTGGTGCTCCCCGACTCTGGAGCTCCTGAGGAAGCTGTCTGGCATCCTTCAGGGGAACTTCGAGAGGCTTTGGGGCACCAAGGGGCACTTTCAGTGAGGCCCAGAGCCAGCAGTGCCCAGGGCAGTTCGCTTCATTACAGAAGGGATGCTCTCACCTTTGGCGGACTCGCCTTCTGCAGGTCCTGCTGTGCACCCCACGGTCTGCATGTGCCGTTTGATTTAGTCCCCACACCCACCCGTGAGGCTGGAGCTGTTAGCCTGATCTCAGGGGAGCAGAGACAGGCTCAGAAAGTGTAAGTAACCTGTCTACACTCACACAGCAGACAGCCATGGGCAAATCCAGTCGGTCAGAGTTAGGCAGCCTGGAGGTTACTGGGGTGTGGGAGACACGCACGCCAGCAGGAACAGGCCTCCAACGCCAGGCTGCTCACAGGTGCCCACGCGCACAGGTGCGTGGACGCAGCGCTGCTGCCACTCAGAGTGGGGTGGGTGGGGTGGGGGTGTCTCTGGAACTGGGGAGCAGGGACAGTTTCTCAGAGGAGGAAGCTGACTAGGCCTTGAAGGAGAAGCAGGGCTTGGCTGGGTGGGCAGGACAGCCTTGGGTTCTTAGCCACCTTTTTGTACCTTGACACCTCCTCCCATCAGAAGCCTGGACTCAGCGCCTGTGGCAGGGCCGGAAGGAAGGAGACTGTGTTGCGTGGCCGGGTCTGATTCAGACGGGTCCCTGGGCATGGAGCCGGCTCTCTCATCTGACTCCTTGGGCTTTAGGAATGTTCAACTTTCCATTTTTTTCTATTCAGGTTTTTGCCATAGGGTGTGTGTACTCAGAGAGAGACAGAGAGAAAGAGAACTAACCCCCGGGGGGATGGTCACACCACAGTCCCTCCTCTACTCTCCTCAGGATTTGGGGCATGCACGCACACATGCTGGGCATGAGTCTCAAGCCGCTAGGTCTGGGACTTGAACTGCAGTTACCCATGTGTGAGTCCAGTGCTTTACCCACAACACCACCTGCTGGTTCCCCAGCTTTTCATTTTGCCAACACCTCTGTCCCTTGGAGTGGGGTGCGGGAGGAGCTTTGGGGGCGTGGGGGGACTCGTTCTCCAGAGCTGACTGCGGGTTGTCAGATGACATGGCACAGCCTTCGGGGGAGAGGCCTATCCCTCTGCCCTGACCCCCTTCTCACTGCTGCTTATAATCAACAGCCACGACTCAGTGTGAGACGTCCTGACCATGGAGTGCCGGGCCCTGGACTCAAACCAGAGCATGTGGCGGGTTGAGTCCCAGCGCTGGCCCTGCAGAAGCCAGGGTGAGTTTCTGAACTTCCGGGGCCCGATTCTCTCATCTGTGAAACTGGGTCAGAAACAGCCCCAGGGACCCGGTGATGATGACGAGCCCCAGCCCACCTGCTTACTGCAATGGCTGTCACTTGCTGAACAGTGAGTGGGTTAAGTGCCAGGCGGGGAGGCTTCCAAAAGTGTGCGGGAAGTGGAATGAAAGTGCACGAAGCATTGACATCCATGCGCAGCTCTGTGTGATATGCATGGTCCTTGGACCTTTTGGAGATCACCCATACCTACGTTACCGCGCCCGGGCGACTCGGTCAGGCTCTAAAGCTCAGGCTCTTTTTGCCTATGTCTCCTGTGAGCACCTGTCTCTGAGGGGTCGGAGCTGTCTGTCCTTGACCAAATGGCAGAGTGCTGGGCTCTGACCGAGTCACGAGGTGCTCCCTTTCCCTCCAGATGCGGTTCTCCTGACCATCCGGGCCCTCCGCTGATCTAAGAAAGGATCACCCTCATTCCAGCCTCCTTGCCTGCCCTTAGCTCCAACCTCTCCACCTGTGCCAGGTGTCCCATGGCCAATGGCAGGACCGTCTCTATGTAAATGTCTGTGCAAATGCCCTGGTGTGAAGCCACCAGCTCTCTGGGGTGGCAGGGCCACCTCCTGAGCCTGTCACTTCCCAGCCATGGGACTTGGGGCATGGACGATCTGCTCTCTGTTCCTGCTCCTGCCGGTCCTGGCCGAGCCTACTGAGGACTCAGACTTCCACCTGGCTGGGGATTACCTCCTGGGGGGGCTCTTCACCCTGCACGCCAATGTGAAGGGCATTGTTCACCTCAACTACCTGCAGGTGCCCAAGTGCAAGGAGTGAGTCTCCAGGGTGAGGCTGGAGGTGGGATTGGGCTGGTGGGAAGCCAGGACTGGTCCTGGGGTCCTCGGAGGGTCAGGCCAGTGCTGAGGGCTCAAAACATGCCTCCTCATTCACTGCCAGACTATTCTGGATTCACCCTCCTGGCACTGAGGAAGCCACACAGTCCCTGTCACTGAGATCTTTGGCGATTGTGTTCTGGAACATTGGACCTGGGTCACCCCGAAGTCAAGTGTCTTTTTTTTTTAAGAGGCTTTTGCCTTAGGGTGCATGCACTCACTGGTGAGAGAGAGCAGAGACAATGAGAGAGAAAGTGAGAAATCACCCCCAGTGGGGGATGGCCGTGCTGCAACCCCTTCTCCATTCTCTTCCTGGGATCTTGGGCACGCACGTACACACACACGTCCAGTGTGGGTTTCAAGCCACCTGGTCCAGGACTTGAGCTACAAGTCGGCCATGTGGGAGTCTCGCACCGTAACTGCTTCACCGTCTGCTGGTCCCGTCAAGTGTCTTTACAAGGAGTTACAGGATATTGGACCCTAAAGGGATCATAGAGACCATCAAAACCACCTCCACCCACTTTGGAAACCAGGGGACTTCCAGGGAATCCATGCCAACGCCCAGTCTAGAAACCACTGTCAAGCCTTTGGGAGGTAGAATGTGGTCTCTCTGTAGCAGGTTCTCATGCTGGAGGGGATTTTCCCTTGTTAAGGGCCGTGGTTGGGTGGGTAGGGGTGCTCCTAGGACTGGAGGGGATTTTCTCTCTCCTTGTCCTCTCTTTGAGTCTCTTGGAATGGCAGCCTCACCTGGAGCTTGCATGGGCCATCTTCCCGCGAGCATGAGGGTGTGATATGGGAGTCAGCTGGGGTAATAAAATTGTGACCTCATCCAGAGGGGGTGGAGGCCTTCTGGGAGACAGGGAGAGAGAACAGAGAGTAAAAATGATGATAAAAGAAAGGTCCCTTTACATGCTGTTGGGGAAGATTGTATGCTGGGTTGAGAATGGTGAGGGAGGTGGTGTCAGTGATGGTGCTAAGCCTGATGCTGGATCTTCTGATGCCCGTGATCCTGGCGAGGAGTCCAGCGATAGTGATGGCAGTGACAGGAGGACTGAGAGCTGATCATGCTGACAGAGTGTAATGTTGCTGCTGATGAAAATGCGAGTGTCGTGGTGGTGGTGGTGATGGTGGTAAAGATGGTGATAGTAGTGGTGATGGGTGATGGTGGTAATGGTGGTGGTGTTGTTGGTATTGTTGATGGTGATGATGTGGTGGTGGTGATGGTAATGGTAGTGGTAAGGGTGGTAACGATGATGATGGTGTTGGTGATGATATGATGATGGTGGTGAGAGTTGTGATAGTGGTGATGGTGATGGTGATGGTAGTGGTGGTAATGGTGGTGTTGAAGGTGGTGGTAATGGTAATGATGATGGTGGTGATGATGGTGGTGGTGATGGTGGTGGTGACAGTGGTGGTGATGGTGGTGATGGTTATGGTGATGGTGGTGGTGGTGATGGTAGTGGTGATGGTGGTGTTGGTGGTGTTGGTGACAGTGGTGGTGATGGTTATGGTGATGGTGGTGGTGGTGATGGTAGTGGTGATGGTGGTGTTGGTGGTGTTGGTGACAGTGGTGGTGATGGTTATGGTGATGGTGGTGGTGGTGATGGTAGTGGTGATGGTGGTGTTGGTGGTGTTGGTGACAGTGGTGGTTGCAACGATGACACCATCTATTACATGGTGGTGGTGGTGACGATGACGCCATCTATTACATGGTGGTGATGGTGGTGGTGACAACAATGACACCATCTATTACATGGTGATGGTGGTGGTGGTAGTGACGATGACGCCATCTATTACATGGTGATGGTGGTGGTGGTGGTGGTGGTGACAGTGGTGGTGATGGTGATGATGATGGTGATGGTGATGGTGGTGGTGATGATGGTAGTGGTGATGGTGATGGTGGTATTGGTGATGATGGTGATGGTAGTGGTGGTGTTGGTGATGGTGGTGATGATGGTGATGGTAGTGGTGGTGTTGGTGATGGTGATGATGATGGTGATGGTAGTGGTGGTGTTGGTGATGGTGATGATGATGGTGATGGTGGTGGTAATGGTGTAGTGCAGATGGTGGTGGTCGTAATGATGGCCATGGAAGGCTATGGTGGTCATAAAGATGGATGACAGTAGTGGTAATATTGGTAATAGGGACAGTGGGCAGTGGTGGTGGGGTGATGGTCATTACGGAGGTTATAGGGGCAATGGTCACACTGATGGTCATTGGTGGAGTAGTGCTGGAGCTTATAGGGCTGGTGGTGACAGTGGCCACAAAGGTCATAGTATCAGTGGTGATCCTAAAGATGTGATATGGTGATGACAATATGGTAAGAATACCAGAATCTTCTGGAGTGGCTCCTTAGTTGATGCTTCGGCTTTCTCATGGCAGGGAGGAGGGGGAAGGCAGGTTCTCCCATCTCCCCTCCCATCCTCACTCTGGCCCTGCTTCACCTCACCTGGCCATTGCCCCTGCAGGTATGAAATGAAGGTGCTGGGCTACAACCTCATGCAGGCCATGCGCTTTGCGGTGGAGGAGATCAACAACCGCAGCAGCCTGCTGCCTGGCCTGCTGCTGGGCTACGAGATGGTGGACGTCTGCTACATCTCCAACAACGTGCATCCTGTGCTCTACTTCCTGGCGGGGGAGAACCTCACCCTGCCTATCCAGGAGGACTACAGCCACTATAGGCCCCGCGTGGTGGCCGTCATAGGCCCTGACAACTCCGAGTCTACCATGACTGTGGCCAGCTTCCTCTCCCTCTTCCGCCTTCCACAGGTGAGGCCTCTGGTCCCTGGAGAAAGGGCCAGGAGAGAAGCAGGCAGGATCTGTCCAGAGGATCAGAAGCCACTTGCTCGCAACCACAGTGGCAGGACTCTGGTCCAGAGCAGGGTGGGGAAGGCAGCCCAGCCCATGGGCGAAGAGCGCAGTGTTGGCATCAGACACCTGGCCGTGCATCTACGCAGAGTCCTGACCACTGTGAAGTACTGGGCAAATGTCTTAGCACTTCGAGCCTCAGTTTCCACACCTGTAAAAGTTCTATCCCAGGACCGTCTAAAAATGAAAGCATTCCCCCGGGCAGGAGAGTAGCATACAGTTAGAACAGTCATGTTACCGTTACTATGGAAAGCGTCTTGCACAGGGATAGAGACTCATGGAGTCTCAATGTTATGCTCTAAGCACTACAGGCTCTGCCTCATAGTAGAGCCTCAAAAAGGACTACTAGGGGCCTGGCAAGTGGCATGGTGGTTAAGACACTGGACTCCTACATGGCTGACCACATTTCAAGTCCCAGACCTGACGGCTTGCTTTCTCGCTTTCCCTCTCTTTCTCTCTCTTTTAAACAAATACTTCTTTTAAAAAAAATACTATTGGGACATCAGAAAAGTCATGACACATTTTTGCAGAAAAAACCATGAGAAAAAAAATTGTCCAGATCTTTCTTTTTCTTTTCTTTTTTTTTTTGGAGAGGTTTTTGCTATAGGGCGTGTGCACTCGCCAGAAAGACAGAGAGAGACAGAGAGACAGAAAGCGAGAAATCACCCCCTGGGGGGATGGCCACGCCGCAATCCCTTCTCCTCCATTCTCCTCTCAGGACCTTGGGCACGCACGCACATGGGCCTGGCATGAGTTTAAGCCATCGGGTCCAGGACTTGAACCGTGGTTGGCTACATGGGAATTCAGTGACATAGCCATGACACTAACTGCTGGTCCCAAAAAATGTCCGGATCTTTTTGACAATCCAGTATTAGGGCCAGCCCACGGCCCAGTGGTTAAGAAAATAGATCTTACGTGGCTGGCTGCACAGTTTGATTCCGGACCCAGTGGCTTGATAAGCAAACTGGGCACATTTACGAGACGGAGGAGAAGGGATTGTGGCCTGACCATTCCCCGTGGGGGATGCTTCCTCCCTCTTTCTTGCTAGTGAGCAAGTACTCTCTGGAAAACGTGGATGGAAAAGTGCTATTAGTATTATTTATTATTATTATAACTTATTATCATCATAATTGAAAACTCCTAGACCAGTACTGGTATAGAGCATCTATTTATTAAAACACAACTAGTTTAAAATGCTGTAATTGTTATTGCTTTATTACACAGAGCACTTAGCACCGGGTCTGACTCATAGTAGGTATTTAATAAGTGTTACTATTTTGATATGAAGCATTTAGTTGAGGACTGAATTTATTCTTTCATTATGTAACAAATATTTATTGAGTGTCTACTGTGTGCTAGGTACTCTTGTAGGAGCTGAGATGCAGCTGGGACAAAAACAAACAAAAATTACTGCTCTCGAAGAGCTTCTGTTCTAGGGGGAGAGACAGCACCTGTGGACAGTGATATACAACGGGGGCAGTAAGAAGTACAGTGGAGAAAAGCAACGGTGGGCAGAAAGGGTAGGGAGAGGGAGGTCATAATTTCCTCTTTTTTTTTTAAAGTTTTTTTCCATAAGGCATGTATACTCACTGGAGAGAGAGACAGAGACAGAAGAAAATGAGAAATCACCCCACTGGGGCGAGGCGGGATGGCCATGCTGCAATCCCTCTCTTCCATTCTCCTCCTGGGATTTTGAGCATGCACGCACACATGCCTGGTGTAATTTTCAAATTGCAAGACTCGAACCACAGTCAGTCATGTAGGAGTACAGTGCCTTAACCACCATGCCACCTGCTGGCTCCCATATTGCAGTTTTTAACAGAAGGGTCAGGTGGATCTTCTGGCAGGCTGGACAAACTTGAGGGAGGTGAAGGAGTGGGCAGCTGTGTGTGTATCTAGAAGAGCCTTCCAGGAACGGGGCTAGCAAATGCAAAGGCCAGGAGGTCCTGGTATGTCTATGGCACGGGGTGAGCAGAAGTAGGGCCAAAGGGAAAGCAGGAGGGCAGGAAAGCAGAAGGGTAAGGGCTGGGCAGACGCTGGGGCCCCCTGGGAGCCATTAGGAGCTGTTGGAGGGCTGTGGAGAGGAGTGACTTGACTTGCCATGCACGCGAGCTCACTCACGGAGGCTGTCATGTTAACGCAGACCACGGGGGCAGAGTTGGGTCTGCAACGGCAGCGGCTGGACTAGCCTGGAGTTGAGGGTGAGAGGAACTGGGTGGGCACATTCTGAAGGCAGACCTGCTGGGATTTGCTGAATGTAGCACCATGGGAGAGAGGAGTCCAGGATGACTCGGAAGTGCCTGGCCTGAGTAGTTGGAGACGGGAAAGGCTGTGGGTGGGGCAAGTTCAGAGGAGACCAGCTCGGTTTCGGATGTCAAGTTCAAGATGTCAGGCAGGCAGTTGCAACTCTGAGTCTGAAGTTCAGGAGAGAGGGGTCAGGCCAGCGGCACTGTCAGCGTGAAATGGTATGGAAAGCCTGAAGACTAACTGGGATCCCCAAGAAAGGGGGGCTAGATGTGGAAGAGACTAGACCCAAAGCCTGGGTCCTGAGGTCCTCCCAGGTTAAGCAGTCTCAGAGATGAGACGGAACCAGCAAAGGGAATGGAAGAAACCCCAAAGCATGGCATCCTGGAGGCAGAGGGAGGAGGTGGCTACTTGAGCCTGCTGGCCACAGTGAGGACGGGACTCTGCTCAGCGACATACGGCAGGGCCAACAGACACTACTAGGTGGTGGGAGGGATCACGACACAGACCACCACCCAGGGCATGGTCCCACTGCGTGCTCCTGTGCAGGGTCCCACACCACCTGGCCTAGGGGTGGCACACAGGAGGTGCTCAGCAAGTGTTACTGCAGCCACACTCTCCGCGCTGAGGTCAGGCCCCAGCCTAGGGTGCAGCACAGCCGGTTCTCATTCCGTGTCACTGCACAGGCCTGCCGTGGCTTACGCTACATGCTCCCCAGATGTCACCAGGATGACGATGGCAGGTGGGGCCGCTGGCCTGTGCACCCAGGGGCCCTGGCTAACGCTGGCTCCTCCCTCTGCAGATCTCCTACAGCGCCATCAGTGATGAACTGCGCGACAAGGTGCGCTTCCCGGCTGTGCTGCGCACGGTGCCCAGCGCCGACCACCACATCGAGGTCATCGTGCAGCTCATGGTGCACTTCGACTGGAACTGGGTCATCGTGCTGGTGAGCGACGACGACTACGGCCGAGACAACGGCCAGCTGCTCAACAACCTCCGGGCCCGCTGCAACATCTGCGTCGCCTTCCAGGAGTCGCTGCCCACGCCACAGCCCAGCCAGGTGGTGACGGAGCACGAGCGTCAGCGCCTCAGGTCCATCGTGGACAAGCTGCAGCAGAGCTCGGCACACGTCGTGGTCGTGTTCTCGCCAGACCTGTCCCTGCACAACTTCTTCCACGAGGTGGTGCACCGGAACATCACCGACACCGTGTGGATCGCCTCCGAGTCCTGGGCCATCGACCCGGTGCTGCACAACTTCACTGAACTGCGCCACACCGGCACCTTCCTGGGCATCACCATCCAGAGCGTGCCCATTCCCGGCTTCAGCGAGTTCCGTGTGCGCCGCATTCAGGCTGTGCCTCCGCCGCTCGACAAGGCCAGGCAGGGGAGCACCTGCAACCAGGAGTGTGACGCCTGCCTGAACAACACGTCGTCCTTCAACACCATCCTCACGCTCTCGGGCGAGCGCGTGGTCTACAGCGTGTACTCGGCGGTCTATGCCGTGGCCTACGCCCTGCACAGCCTCCTCGGCTGCAACCAGACCAGCTGTGCCAACAAGACAGTCTACCCCTGGCAGGTGAGGGCCTGGTCTGCGCCGAGTCAGGGCCCCACTGAGCAGGCACAGACTCTGGGATTGCCAGGGAGATCGCAGGTGCTGGGCTGTGTAGCTCCGCCTTCCCTTGGGGACTTCTGGACCAAGGTGTGTGAGAGGCCACGGGGCACCCCTGCCTCTAGACACATGGAACCCGAAGTCATTCACAGTGCAAAACAAACTTCTTAAAAAAAGTAACCCTCAGGGAACCAGCAGTTGGCGTAATGGCTATATTGCTGGACTCCCATGTAGTTGACTGCGATTTGAGTCCCGGACCTGGTGGCTTAAACTCACGCCAGGCGCTTGTGGGTGCGTGCCCAAGTTCCCGAGAGCAGAATGGAGGAGAAGGGATTGTGGCGTGGCCATCCCCCTGGGGGATGATTTCTCGCTTTCTGTCTCTTTCTGTCTTACTGGCGAGTGGGCACATGTGCCCTATAGCAAAAACCTCTCCAGAAAAAAAAAAAAAAAAAGAAAGAAAGAAAGAAAGAAAAAAGTAACCCTCGGGCCAGTAGGTGGTGTGGCAGTTAAGGCACATGGCCGAATGCGATTCAAGTCCTGGACCCAGTGGCTTGACAGTCATGCCGGCACGTGTAAATGAATGCCCAAAATCGTAAGAGGAGAAGGGAGGAGAAGGGATTGCAGCATGACCATCCCCCTGGGAGGTGATATCTCACTCTCACTCTCTTTCTGTTCCTCTGGTGAGCACATGCAGCCTATAGCAAAAATCTCTCTCTCTAAAAATAAAATAAAATAAACATGTAAGCTTCACTATCCAAGAGAGTCTGTCCTTAGAGACTGAGGCAGAATTCGCCACAAGTTGTCTCTGTAGTCTCTCCCTGTGGAGACCAAAGGGGACCAATCAACAACCAGCATATCCAATCCTGTTAACTGAGCACCTACCACGTGCTAGGAGGCACTGGGGACCCCTTGCCTCAAGAGGAGGTAAGGACCATTGATCAGCTTGGTCTTTACTAGGTGCAGCAGGAAGTGAGAGCTGCAGCTCTGCATTGCCGTGGAAGGAGGGAGCTAGGAAGGCAGGATTGAAGTAGAAGGCATGAGGGCACTGGGCTGCCCAGGAGGAGAGTGGGCAGGCCTAGCTACAGGGTCCAGCTAGTGCGGGAAGAGTTGGGACGAGGGGAGCTGCTGGTGACACTGGAGGGTGTGGAGCTCCGGGCGGGGTTGGGATGTGTCCTGGAGCAGTAGGAGCCCACAGGATCCTAAACTGGGCACGGAGCCCAACAAGCCAATTCGGACTGGGGTAGAGAGTGAGTGACAGAGACCAGAGGCAGGGAGCCCATCCCACCCTCTGCAGGCCTCCCCCAGGGTCTCACTGCCGTATACAGTGCCATTGTGTGAATTAGGGAATGTGCAGACAAGGGAGGCCAAGATGCCCTTAGCTCTGGTGGGTCCGGCCCAGCAGCAGGCACTGGTCTTGAGCTGAGTGGGCGGGATGCCAGCTGTCTCCCCACCTGCCCTATTGGGACCACTTGTGCAGGGCACAGCCTGAAGAGATGTGTGTGGCACCCTCACACAGCCCCTCAGTGCTGGGTCACACACCACGACACCTCCTGATGTTTTCATCACAGTTGTTCCAAGTCGTTGTGTTTATTTGTGTTGTTGTTTGTTTGTTTCTTATCTAGCCCCCACCCCCTGCCCTGCCAAACTCAAGCCTGTGGGAGTGGTGACCCCGCCAGTCCTAGCAAGGCTGCCCCCCCCACACACTGCTGGCGCGTCTCAGAGCCTGCTCTCAGGGACTGTGTGCTGGCTACGAATGAATGAGTAGTCTCTTACGATCTGCCTGCTGCTGTGCTAACCCCTTTTCATGAACCATCATTCATTCCCAGACACCCCGTGAGTAGTGTTGATGCTAGAGGTGACAGTCACCCAGCTAGGGAGTGACAGGGAGAGGTGGCAGCAGGTAGAAACGGGACGAGGCCTAGGGATGGGCACCAGTATGAGAGGCGAGGTGGAGGGCGAGGCCTCAGAGGTCATGGGAAGACTGGGAGGTGGTGACTGCGGGGTGTGCTGACGATGGTGGCAGTGGGGCAGAGCAGGGGGTGGCTGGGCAAATCCAGGCAGGCAAGTTTACCAGGCCAGTGACTGCCCGAAGCTCTGGGTCCCCAAGCTATAGCTCAACGCACTCTTCCATTTATGGAGGACAGTACCTGGGATCCAGATCAATGGGATATCTGAACTGGAAGCCCTCCGGGGATCTGCCCAGAGAAGTAGGGTGATTGCTCAGAGTCACACAGAAATTGAGAACAGGACTCGGGACTAGAGTTTTGAAGAGAGGATGCCAAATTCAGGTCACATTCTAGTCTGTTCCGGCGTCTGCATCCTGAGAGTGCTGGGATAGGTGGGGAGAGACCCTTAGGTGTGGGAGGCAGGAAGCACCCAGGGAGCCAGGGCAATCTATGCTGACTCTTGCTGGTGAGAGGGACAGTGGCCTCGACTCCACGCGTGGGGTTTCAGAGGGCTGACCGAGGTGGCTTCCCGGGAGAAGGAACAGCATCCCCCCTTGTGGGAGGTGAGCACTTACTGTGTCTCGAGAACTAAGCCCCAACCTAAATGAGCTCACAGGCTTTGGAGCCCAGAATATAGGGATTTCATTGCTCCCACTTTGCAGAAGAGAAAACTGGTTCAGAGAGGTCAAGCAACAGGTGCTAGGCCTCGCAGCAAGTAGCTCCAGCCACTGCTTCAACTGCCATCTTTTCCCCCCCCCACCTTCAGAGACATTCTATTAGTGACAAATGCCCCTTCCCCAAAAAAAAGCAAAAAAGAAAAAGTAAAACAAAATTCTGCATTTTTATAAAACTTGATAAAAAGTATTTCCAACTGCACAGTCACCAGAAGGACACAGCTGTCACAAACGCACACGCGTCACTTGGCGTCTCCAGCACCTTCAGCTTTCTGTGCCTGGTCTGTGTTGGCATCTCCATTTTCTGCAGGGTTATTCCCATCCTTGCCAGCATCAGCTTTTCCCTTTTTTCCCAGGGGCACCTTCTCTCCCTTCTTTGCAGGGGCCTTTTTAGGCGTGGGCTCTGGCTTTGGAGGAGCAGGTTTCGCAGACGACCTTGCAGATCTTCTCTGTGGTCCGTCCTTCCGCTTGGCTTTACCTCCTTCAGCATCGCCCTCAGCCTTCCTCTTGGGCACGGTGGCGATGACGTGGGACATAGGCACTGGACGTCGGGGATGCAGCGGCGTGCAGGCTTTGGTCGGCCCAGGGGTCGCTCTCGCCTCTTCGCACTGCTCCTGAACTGCCGTCTTCTTGAAGACTACTGCCCGTGTCACAGAGACGACAGTTAAGGCTGGAGGGACACGCACTGTCCTGCAGGTCTGCCTCGGACTCTGATGCTGCTCCTCTTCCTTCCCTCCCGCCCCTCCAGCTACTTACCAAGCTGCAGAAGGTCAACTTCACCCTCCTGGGCCACCACATCTTTTTCGACCAGCGAGGGGACGTGCCCATGCACTTGGAGGTCATCCAGTGGCAGTGGGACCTGAGCCAGAATCCCTTCCGGATTGTTGCCTCCTACTGGCCCAGCCAGCGGCTGCTTACGGACATCCACCGCATCTCCTGGCACACCCCCAACAACACGGTCAGCCAGGTGGACTGTGGGGCGGGCGGGCCCCAGGGCTCATGCTTGGGTTGAGGGCCTTTCTATCAAGGGGGACTCCTGGAGAGTCCTCATCAATAGCTAGTGGGCTCTCTATTGATGGGCAAGTTTGCCGGGGCCCTGGCCTAGCCCACTGATGGAGATTCAGGGGTATCTGACTCCGCAGGATGGAAGGCCCCAGGGCTTTGCAAAGTAAGCATTTACTGAACATGGGCATGCCAGGCCTGTGCTAGGGACTTCGTCACTGTATCAACCCTACGGGATAGATGCTACCATTCCCCTATTATGTGCATTGGAACTCTGGAGGCACAGAGGTTGTGTGGCCTGCCTGAGGCCACACAGCTTGTCTGTGGGGGATAGTCTGTATGCAGCATTCAGGCTCCATCTTGTCATTTAATGCTCATGTTCTGGAGATGGCAGCTCTGACTTCAACCGGGTGTGACATCTGTCAATCTACAGATTCTTTGTTTCACTCTTTTTAGATAATAAACCATTAGAATTAGGCTGGGGTGGGGAGGAGGGCGCGGGGAAGCCTTGTAGGACCGGGGAGAAACCCAGGGATTGAAGACCTCGCAGAGCCTTCATCAGCCTCCCTGGATATATCCCGCACCCCCTGCTCCCCTCTCCCGACAGTACATCCGCTCAGCCCAGATCTAGAGGTGGGTGGTGCAGCTGGTCTCTGAACTTTCTGGGCAGTTTTGTGGACTAAGTTGGCCTGGTGTCTGGGAGCCTGCTAGGGCGGCCGTAACGCAATGCCGCAGACTAAGGGCGCCAACAGCAATGGGTTGTCTCACAGTTCTAGAACTCAGAAGTCCAAGGTCACGGTGTCAGCAGGGTCGGCTCCTTCTGAGGAATGGGAGGGACCGTCGCCTCCAGGCTGTCGTCCTGGCTTTTAGTAGTTCACTGGCCATCTTCAGGGTTCCGTGGCTCATAGATCTCTGCCTTCACCTTCACATGGCCTTCTCCCTGTCTGCATGTCCAGGCGTCCCCCTTTCTTCTCTTTTCTTTTTTAAAATTTGCTCTAGGATGCGTGTGCTCACTGGTGAGAGAGAGAGAGAGAGAGAAATTACCCCAAAGGGGATGGTCATGCCATAATCCCTTCTCCTCCATATTTCTTCTCAGGATTTGGGCATGCCCACACATAAGCCTGTGTGTGCCTTTCAAGCCCCCAGGTCCTGGACTTGAACCATGCAGTTGACCATGTTGAATCTATCCATCTCAAACACCATGCCACTGGCTGGCCCCAGATTCCCCCTTTCATAAGGACACCAACCACATTGGAGGAGGCGCCACCCTACTCCACTCTGACTTCATCTTAGCTAATCACATCTTCATAACCTTCTTTCAGAATAAGGTCACCTTCTAGGTCTTGAGTAGGTCTTCAAACCACAGGAACAGGAGAGGGGCAGAGCTTACCCCACATGGTGTCTCAGCCTGCGCTTCTCCCAGAGATCGGAGCTGAGACAAGCGATGGCCGAGAGTTTATTTCAGGACATGAACAGGGGTGGGAGCCTGGGGACAGTTCAACAGGGAAGGGGGCAAGTCAGTCCCAGGACTGTTCTCAAGTCAGACCCGCTGTGAGCAGCTGGTCCCCAACCTTGAGGGGACCCGAGAGTTGTCCCCCATGAGAGGGAAGGAGGTTGCGTGGATCCAGGTCCCCTTGCACTCTAGGTCACACATGGTGAGTGTCCCACAGCTCCTCATGGGCACCTTGCTCTGCAGCCCAGTGCAGAGTGGGGAGGTGGCGGCGTCCCTCCGGTGGACTGCCCACAGATGCCACCTGTAGGAATTGGTGGCTGTGGCAATAGTTGGAATAAAAGATGGGCCTGGAAAATATGAGGGAGGCCACAGGGATGGCCACTCTGCATTTTACCCCATGTGCTTGTGCCTGTCATTGGTCCTCGTTGTTAGGGGCCAGGTCTCTGCCAAAAGGGAGCTCGGTGGACCCAGCCATGGGCCCATGGTTGCCCTCTCTCCTTTTTGCTGTCCATATGGACTCCTCCACCCTCAGCCAGCGTGTGGCCGCCCGAGGTCATCCACCTGGTGAGGCGGTCTGCACCTGCATCCTGGAGGCATCGGAGCCTGCATCAGCCATTCAGCATCACCCGGGAGCCCAAGAATAGCCATCCTTCAGGACCCTCTCCATCCACACAAAGCGAATGACCGAGTGCCCTCAGGCAGCTCTGTACACTACACCGTTAGTGTGGCAATGGTCCAGTGGCAGCTGACGTCAGTGTATCAGGCTAACCTTCCTAAATGTTTTCCTCCATACGTTGGCCCTAGGGAACCCCTCCATGAGGTCATAGGCGTGATTTGAGGGAGCGGCATTGCCACAACAGAGGTAGAAGCAGGAGTCATGGTCATGGGTTTAAAAAATACACTTTGTCCCCCCATAGCCTCTTGGGTACCATCGCGGTTGGGTGAAGACTTGTGGCTCTTTCTTCTTCACCACGTAACTCCATGAATCTGTGTCACTCGTTAAGTCCTGAGTTAGGTGCTCCGTTTCCGCTACGGGCCAGCAGGACTCCAGCAGCTGTTTTCACAGTGAGCTGTGCTGTGCTGTGGAGGGCAAGGCAGTGTTGCGGCTCTCCTGTGGAGGCGTGCCCGTCCTTAGCTGTCACAGAGCCAACACCATCCGGTCTGCGTGGTCACGTGGCCTGAGTGGCGGGATGGCAGGACAGCGTGCATGGGAGCCAGGGCCTTCTTCAGTCGTTCTCCTCCCCAGCTTCTTTCAAGGTTTTCTCTTAGTCTTTGTTATTCGCAGTTGGGATACGATATGCCTGGGTGTTGTTTATTTGATATTTATCTCTGAGATTCCTGGATCTGTGGTTTGGTGTCTGTCATTAATTTTGGAAATTTCTCAGCCATTGTTACTTCAAGTATTTCTTCGGTTCCTTTCTCCTTTCTTCTTCTTCTGGTATCATCATTATATGTATTTGTTACTTTCCGTCTTGAAATTGGAAGCCTTTGGAGTTACCCGGTAAGTGGGTGGAAGCAGTGTTCCAAGAGCCATGTATGCTGTCCCCCAAATCTGAACAGGTTCGCCAAGTGCCTTACTTCAGCAGCAGGAAGTATAAGGTGTATGAACTTTACCTGAAAGTCCCCAGACCACTAGGTCCCTAAAAACCTCACCGTTGAGGCAGACCCCTCTCGAACCTTTGTAGGCTTTAGTCTCCTATCGTCTGACGTTCATAGGTCTTACTCAGCCATAGAAAGTACTTGCTACTGGGGCCAGCAGGTGGTGCAGTGGTTGTGGCACTGGACTCCCACATGGCTGGCTGCGGTTTGAGTCCCAGACCCGGTGGCTTGAAACTCATACTGGGTGCGTGTGCATGTCTGCCCAAAATACTGAAAGGAGAGTGAAAGAGAAGGAACTGTGGTGTGGCTATCCTCTCTGGTGTGTGGGGGGGAGTGACGTCTCTCTCTGTCTCTTTCCGTGTCTCTGGTGAGTACACGCACCTTATAGCAAAACTCCCTATCTTAAAAAAGGAAAGAAAGTGCTTACTACTTTTTACTCACCATTTCCAGTTAGCATGATGTCACCAATGTAGTGAGCCAGCAGATGTCCTGAAGAATGGCACAGTGGTCAGGTCCCCTGTGGAGTTTCTGACAGAGAGTAGAAGTATAAACTTTGTGGTAAGGTAATGAATGTTAGTGATATGAGATCTTTCTTTTTATTTCTTTTCTTAGATTTTTGCCATATGGTATGTGCACTTGCCAGAGGGAGACAGAGACAGGGAAAGTGAGAACTCTGTCCCCTATGGGGGATGGCCATGATACAATCCCTTTTCCTCATTCTCCTCACAGGTTTTTGGGCATGCACGCACATGCGCCTGTTGTGTTTTTCGAGCCGATGAGTCCAGGACTTGAACTGTGGAGACAGCTATGTAGCCATGACACCTGCTGGGCCCTTTTTTTCCTTTTTAAAATATAGACATTTGCAGCGATAAATATCCATCCAAATACTGTTTCACTGCATCCCATCAGTTTTGGTATATTTAAATTTTATGTTATTTATTTATTTATGTTTGTTTGTTTTTAGAGAGATATTTTGCTGTAGGGTATGTGCGCTTGCCAGAGAGAGAGAGGGACAAAGATCATGAAGTCACCCCCAGAAAGATGGCCACACCGCAATCCCTTCTCCTCCATTCTCCTCTCAGGATTTTGGGCATGCACGCATGCATATGTACCTGGGATGAGTTTCAAGATGTTGAGTCTGAGACTAGAACCACAGCTGACTACGTGGGAGTCCAGCAATGTAACCATTATGCCATATGCTGGTCCCTGTTTTTTTTTTTTTTTTTTTTTTTTTTATAGAGATTTTTGTTATAGGGCGCTCATACTTGCCAGAGAGACAGAAAGAGTCACGGAGAAAGAAAGTGAGAAATCACCCTCTCTAGTGGGGATGGCCATGCCATAATTCCTTCTCTATTCTCCTCTTGAGATTTTGGGCACACATGCACACACACTTGGTTTAAGTTTCAAGCCACCAGGTCTGGGACTTGAACCACAATTGACCATGTGGAAGTCCAGTGTCTTAACCACTGTGCTACCCCAAATTTAAAAAAATCTTTAATTGTGGTAAAGAATGTGTAACATAGATTTTACCATCTTTGTTTTTAAACGCACAGATTAGTAATGTTAAGCATACTCATGTTTTCGTGTAATGGATTGCTAGGACTTGGTCATCTTGCTGAACTGAAACTCTATACCTGTTGAACAATTCCCCATGTCTCCCTTCCTTCAGCCTCTGGCAGCGATCACTCTCATTTCTGTTTCTGACGAGTTTGACTGTGTCAGGTAGCGCTCGTGGTGAGACTACACTGTCTTTGTCTTTCCGCGAAGGTATATCGTGCTTGTATTTTCATTAATCGCAAAGAGTTTTCTAATTTCCCCTGTGAGTACTTCTTTGACCTATTGTTCTTTGGGAGTGTGTTGTTTAATTTTCACATATTTGTGAGTTCTCCAAATTTCCTTTTGTT